CTTGCCAGGCAGGCGCTTTTGCTGCTGAGCTAAATCCCCAGCCCCATCCTTGTCTTGTTCTTATTTTAAAGTGAAAGCTTTCAGTTTTTGTCCATTTAGTATGATGTTTATTGTTGGTTTGTCATAGATGGCTTTTATCGGATCGAGGTAAAGACTACCTATTCTGATTGTTCGTAGGGATTTTATCACGAATAAGTGTTGGACTTTATCAAAAGCTTTTTCTGCATCAATTGAGATGATCATGTGATTTTTGTTTTTAGCTCTGTTGATATGGTGTATTACATTTATTGATTTACATATATTGAACTATCCCAACATTCCTGGGATGAATCCCAGTTGGTCATGGTGTATAATCATCTTGATAATTTGCTGCATTCTGTTTGCTAGTATTTTATTGAGAATGTTCACTTCTATGTTCATTAGGGCGATTGGCCTGTTGTTCTGTTTTTTGGCTGAGTCTTTCTCTGCTTTTGCTATCAGGATGATACTTGCCTCTAGTAATGAGTTAGGGAGAATTCCTTCCCTTTTAATTTCATTAAAGAGTTTTAGAAGAATTGGCATGAAGTCTTCTCTACATTTCTTATAGGATTCACCTGTGAATCCATCAAGACCTGGGCTTTTCTTTGTTGGTAAGTTTTTTACTACACTTTGAATTTTGATGATTGATATTGTGTTATTCAGGTTTTTATATCTTTTTGATTCAGCTTTGGTAATTCATATGTACCTAGGAATCTATCTATTTTTTCTGTATTTTCCATCCTGTGACAGGAAAGTTTTTCAAAGTAGGCATTGATGATCTTCAGAATTTGTCTAGGATCCATAGTGATTTAACTCTTTTCTTTATTACATGAGTTTGTGTTTTTTCTTTCCTTTTTTGATAAGGTCAGCTAGGCATTTATCAGTTTTTTTTTCTTTCAAATAGCAAACTCTTTTATTCATTAATTTCTTGTATTGTTTTGTCTCAATTGCATTAATTTCTGCTCTGATTTTATAATTTCCTCCTTTCTTTGGGCTTAGGGCTGGCCTTGCTCCTGTTTATCTAGAAATTTGAGGTGCAGCCTAAAGCTGTCTATTTGTGCTCATTCTATTTTCATTATGCGAGAATTCACTACTATAAGTTCTAGACATTTTCATTTGAATGTAAATATTGTTTAATTTATTTCTTTAATTTCCTCTGTGCTCAATTGGTTGTTCAGGAGGGTGCTATTTAATTTCCATGTGTTTATGGAGTTTTGCAGTTTCTTTTGTCAATAGTTTACAATTTCATGGCACTCTGATACAATAATATTCATGGGATAATTTCAATTCCTTTGCACTTACTTAAGCATGTTCTATATGCTAATATATGGTCCACTTTAGAGAACATTCCATGTGCAGCTTAGAAGAATATGTATTCTGATATTGTTGGGTGGAGCATTCTGTAAAGGTCTCATTAAAAGTCTATTTGTTCACAGGTTTGGTTTAGTTCTGTTATTTCTTTGCTGATATTTTGTCTAGTTGATCTATCTCTTTGTGACAATGGGGTGTTAAAATCTCCTGTTACAACTAATTGCTTATTTGATTTTTCACATCTGTAAAAATTTATCTTGTATATTGGATGTTCCTGCATTTGGTGCATACATATTTATGACTGTTATCTCTTCCTCTTGCAGTTTTCCCTAACAAGTATATAGTGACTTTTTAAATCTCTTTTGATTATTCTTGATTTGAAGTTCATATTGCCTGCAAACAGAAAAGCTACCCCTTCTTTTTTCTGGGTTCCTGTCACGTGGAGTATTGTTTTCCAACCTTTGACTTTCAGTCTATTAATTTCCTTTTGAGTTAAGTGTGTTCCTTATATACAACATATTTTTGGATTTTGTTTCTTGATCCAATCTTCCAGGCTGTTTCTTTTGATTGGGGAATTGAGGAGATTGACATTAACAGTGGTTACTGATATGTATTGTCTTGTCTTTGTCATGTTATTTTTCTGCTGTTGGTTCCCAGCTTTTCTACTCTCTTTAATTGCTTGCCCTGGTTGGTGGTTCATTTCTATTGTTGTTCTTGGAATTGTGGTCCTTTTTATCTCTTTCTAGAGTATGTTTCAGTACTCTTTGAGGGTTGATTTGGTTGTCATAAATTTCTTTAGTTGTTCTTTGTCATAGAGGTATCTTATTTCTCCATCAATTTTGGAAGATAATTTTGCAAGATACATTAATCTGGGTTGGAATTTGTTTTCTTTCATCCTTGGAAATACTTCACTCCAAGTTCTCCTTGTCTTGTTAGCTTGTGTTGCAAAATCCACCATTATTCTTATGGGTTTTCTTTCATAGGTGTTCTGTTTCTTTTATTATTGTGTTCTTTTGCTGAATTTATGGGATCTTGATTAATATGTGTCTGGGTGTAGATTTATTTTTATTTTGGCTCATTGGAGTTCTATATGCTTCATTTATCTGTATATCAGATTCTTTTCCCATGCTGAGGAAATTCTCTGCCATTGCTTCTGCAAATAGTCTTTTTATGTCATCCATGTTGACACATACTTTTTGTGGACACTTATCAGTCTTATATTGTATTTCTTTGCACCATCAGCTGTTGAATTATTATTTCTTGGTTCTTTATTTTCAAGAGATCTTTCCTTTTGCTATCTCTAGTTCCAATGCTGTCTTCAAGGCCTGAAAGTGTATCTTTCATTTCATTCAAGCCATTTTGCAAGCTTTCAATGGAATTTTAATTTCCTGGATATCTTTTGAATCTGTTTCATGCATTGTAATTCTTTCCTATATTGTTCATTCAAGGTTTCTATAATTTTTCTGAGCTCCTCTATTTTTTTAACTGTACCTTCTTTATATATGCTATGTAATTTTTTTACTATGGTTGTCATTTCTTTTTTACCTGAGAGATTATTTCTGATCTGATTTCTTCTATAA